GTAGTTGTGGTGGTGGTAGTAATAGTAATAGTAGTAGTAGGAGTAGTAGTAGTTGCAGCAGCCAGCAGCAGCAGCAGCAGCAACAGCGGCGGCGGCAGCAGCAGCAGCGGCAGCAAAAGCAGCGGCGGCGGCGGCGGCAGCAGCAGCAGTAGCAGCGGCGGCGGCGACGGCGGCGACAGTAGTAGTAGTAGTAGTAGTAGTAGTAGTAGTAGTAGTAGTAGTAGTAGTAGTAGTAGTAGTAGGACAGGTAGAAGTAGTGGTGGTAGTAGTAGCAACAACGGTAAGAATAGTTGTGATAGTAACTTGTGGTGGAGATGACAGTAGTTGTAGTAGTAAATAGTAATAGTAACAGCAGTAGTAGTAACAATATGTAGTAGTAGGAGTAGTAGTAGAAGTAATAGCGGTAGAGGTCAAAATAGTTGTCGGTTGTGTACAGTAGGACACTGGTGACAGTAGAAGTGTAGTTGCAGTAGGGACAGCACGTGCGGTAGCGGTAGTAGTAACAGTAACAGTAGGTAGCAGTAGCAGTAGCAGTAGCATTAGCAGTATTAATGGTAATAGTAACAGTAGTGGTGTAGTAGTAGTAGTAGTAATAGTAGTAGTACTAGGTTTAGTTAATAGATTTATAACAATAGTATTAATTTTAATAGTAATAAATTTATCCTTCGCGGAATTTATTTTGCATTTTTTTCAATGGTTGGATTTAGCTAGGCTGGTAATTTGATGCGCGTCTTAAAATTTTCCTTTCTTCTAACTAAAGTAGCGAGGCGAAAAGTTCAAGTATCGTAATAAAGGCGCGTAACGTAAATCTCTGTATAATTATTGTTTTTTTCTTTTTTTTTTAAATCTGTCTCGCTCTTCTCGTTCTCGCCACTCACTCGACGTTTCATTCCCATTCTCACACTCACGTAATTACTCTCGCACGCATTTTCGCTCTCGTACGATCGACACGCGCGCCTTGATTTTCCCTTAAAAACATACAGCGCAATTATACCGTCATTTTCTCCGTCGCATTCTCTCTCTTCCTTCATCCCTTTCGTTCACAATATCAGTCTCGCTTCGTCTAACCTTTGCTCGTTTCGTCTAATAAAAGATAGATGAGATATTCCTCGGTAAAACTCGCATCTAAGATCTAATAAATCGAATAATGGAACCGCTTTTTTTTATTTGCTTACTTGCGTCTTATTACTTTGTTCATTTTCTTTTGCTAGATCGGGCGTTACGATATATATT